CGTTAGATTACACACATGCACTAGTCATTATGGATCATTTGAAAAACAAACAAATGTTTGACTTCTTGGTGAGGATTAACAATAAAGATGTGAATTTCAGTCTTTTTGACAATGTAATATTAAGCTTATTAATAAATACTTGTATTATATATATATATATATATATATATATATAAGTACATGTATTATAAAAATATGTTTAGATAATTCTTTAAAAAAAATATTTATTAAAAAGTTGGAAAAAAAATACTTATAAGCTAAAATTGACTAATGTATATTTTTTTTTTTTGACAATTTATATATAAGTTTTGGAGAAATTAACGTAAAAATGTTTCTATATCTAATTCCATTTTTCTTTTTGTTCTTTTTAATAAATAATTTTAAAAAAGTTTATCCAAAATTTTTTTTAATATTTATTGAATCAAGTTCATGATTAGCTATGGACTCAGGGCAGAAGGGACGATGTCCGAATTTAGAGGAGTCCAAGAATTTTAAATATATATTATTGTTGTCTTATTTTATGCTAATTTCATATAAATATATTCAAATCACTATCTCTTATTATGCCTCTTCTTATATATCTAAATTAAAATGCGTCATGTGAAAAAAAAAATGCCTCATGTGATTATAAAATATTCTCTTGGTTATTAATTATTATTTTTTACTATTTGTGTTATATTCATAGATTTTTTAAATGAATTTTTAATTCACTATGACATAACAGTGTGTAATGGACAACGATAATGTGTAAACTTAAAGTTTTTTTTTTCCAACAAGATAAATCAAATTATAAAGGAATCTATATTCATGTACTGTAAATTAAAATATTTAGCTTAGATAATGAAACTCTCAATTTACTCGCCCTCTCAATTAAAAAAATTTCAACGCTTTCTCCGTGAGAGGTCAACACCCTCTCCACAATTAGGGGAACAAAAATATCTCTCACAATTACCCTAGTTAATAAATATATATATATATGTATATTCTTAATTGTCTATCTATTTTTTAAAATAATCTTGTTATAATTAAATTATTTATTATAAATCTAAAACATATATAAATCATATATTTATTTATTTTATAATTATAATTGTATAAAAAATAAATATTTATCTTATACAATACACGTACTAAAACTCTAATAATTAAAATTAAAATTCAATGTGTCATAAAAAATATGCATACTTAATTTGAATCGGTGATAATTTGTGAATGGAACACAATAATGTAAAAGTAAATTAAATAAAAACAAATGTCATACATTATTCTAAAATATATTACGTCATTCGTTTAATGTAATAAAATAATATTTTAATAAAATTATGCGTCTATTTATAAAAGAAATATGTTCATATTTTTGAATGCTTAGAACCTGATTTGTCATTTCGTTCTAGATTAATAAAATGGGAAAACCAAATAGAGTTTTATCTATGTCCCAAGTTATGAGTATTAATCACTCTCAAATTAAAGCCTTGAATTAATGAGTTATGGAATAACTGAGGGTGGCCCATTGCCAGCTTATCTTTGATTCCCTCCAATGCAAGATGTTGTATATATTAATGGAACAGAAATGAAACAAACATGTCGGGCAAAGATGAGATAAGAAAAGGTTTGATTTACATCAACCATGACTTGTCGTGGTCGCAAAAAGCTTTCCCCCTCTCTTTTATGGCACTGAGTGAGTTTTTTCAATCCCATGCATGCATGTACAACATCTTTGTCACATTCAATGGCCTTTCCTTTGCTCAACAACCAAATAAAAGACCCTACAATGAGATGTTGACCCCCACGTGCACTCGACACCAGCCCCACACAATCATCTATGTCCTTTTCTCTTGTTTCCTCTTTCTAGTTGATAATGGATATCATTGTTCATAACCCGTTACAATTATTTTACTCATCCTCACTCTTCTATACCCAAGTTTTACTCTTTTACTACTCCCTTTAACAAACTACTACGTTCCAAGACTCTATATAAATACAAAACCTGATCGATATTGCTGACTTCAATTAAGTACTCCTCACATTTCGAGGAACCATTTCCAATATCATGAGGAATTTTTATCTGCTGCTTAAAAAATTAATGTACCAACCATATATCAGCATTATTTACTTTCAGAGCCCCACTCCTCTAAAGCTCTTAAGCTAAAAGTAAATAAATTTAGCTTTTAATTAATTAATAACTTTTTGTTACTTTGATTAAAAATAAATAAATCGTCTGCAGGGATTCTAGCTCTCGATCTTTTGATCATGCATAGCATGAAGAACGTATAGTATGACACCAGTAATGCCAATATCTTTTTATTGCAGATTTGCGGTCAAATGATTTTCTTTCAAACAAAGCCTGATGATTTTACATGCTTCTTTTTTAAATTATATATTGCCATGCTTGTGTCATGGGAGAAAACAATATACGTACCATTTTTTTAATGGGAGAAAATCCTAAACCCTAAACCTTTCACTTAATTACCATTCCCTTCCCATACTAATTAAGTAATTATAATTAATCATATGATAATTATAATAAAACCCTAGCTTTACTTATGAATAGTGAGTCGAGTTTGAATACATTAGTATATATAGTTCCTGTATTTTATGCTCATGTTTTCAAAAATTTTAAATAAAAAAATTATCCATATCCGCATGTATACCTACGTGAGAATAATAACTCAAATTCACATATTCATATTCTTAATTGGTATCTAGATCCTCGTATCCATCTTTATTATTTTTGCTTTAGTTAATAATAAATCTACTTCTTTTTTTTCGAACTAATAAAAAAATATTTTTTGACACAAAAAAACTATAAAATAGAATTTAAATATATTACATTACCAATATATATATATATATATATATATATAAAATTGCGTTATCATCTAATCATTGATTAATATGGTAATATTATTGACTTGTTTTAATAATTGCTTTAAATATCGTACGTGTCTAGGGTGATTTATAAGTGATCCATAGAGTAAAAATATTTATTGTAATAATATATCAAAATTAAACTCTATAAAATGGAGCATTAATTCACTAAAAAAAATCATCAGGTACAAAATTACTAATACAGTCATTCGTCTAAATTCAAATACAATATTAATAGGTGCCAAATTAAAATATAATATTAAGACATAATTTTTCATATATATTCATTATTGTAGTGTGTGAGCAAATCGATAGGGATACCATAGAACTTCGTGGACATTTACCTGTACTCAAATCCAAACTCATCAAGCAAAAATAGTTACCTTAGTCCTTCGTCATAGATATTCGTTTGCAACTACCCAACTAGTATAAGAATGGTTGTCATCTCTAATTTTATCAATTTTATGGTATAAAAATCAAATTAGCTGATCATAAGAAAATCAGTAAATTGTGTGGGCATTCTTTTTATTCAACCCAGAAACCAAATAATTTCAAAATTGATGACGATTAATAAAGAACTGGTTAGGTCGGGTCCAATATCAATGAAAACCAGTGTCAAAAAAGTAATAAAAAATAGTTTGAATCTTTTTTTTTTTTCTTTCGTAAATTCTTTGAAAAATATTCCAACAAAAAAACATTTTATAAATCATATGCAGATTAAACACCATGTACAAATGTTTGTGCATGAAGTTCACTTATAAATGTCGACAACTTATGATTATCATTTATTTTACAAAGCATATAATATTTTCATTTTATGTTTTAAAATTTTCTTAACTTGATTTTTTATTAATTGTTATTAGTTTATTACTTATAATATATACGATATTAAATATATATAATTATCATTAGTTTATTTACTTCAATTATGATCAAACTAATAAACACTGAAATACCTCTTTTTCAACTAATATAATTTTAAAATATTAGTATTAAGGAAAAAATACATTTTTCGTTCCTTATATTATTTATTAGATTCAATTTAGTCTCACTTTAATTAATTGAATCAATTTAACCCTACACCTTTAAAATGTATCTTAATGTTTGACTTTCCGTTTCTTCCGTTTAAATACTTAACCAATCTGACCCGTGTCATGTCACGTGTCATATTATTTTAAAGATGTAGGACTAAATTGATTCAATTAATTAAAGTGAGACTAAATTGAATATAATAAATAATATAAGAGACGAAAAGTATATTTTTACTTGGTATTAATGATGAGAAATTCTTTTCATTTAAATTTTAAAGGTTGAACCAGTGACCAGTGTCTTGGTTGAGGAGAATTTGTTTTCTGCAAAACAAATGGTGCAAGTGCCAAACCTCCCTCCAAAACTTAAACTCCTATGATTAGGATCATAGAGGGGACGTGCACCGTATACGAGATTATACTTGTCATTGAGACTTTTGTTTAGACTTCGTGCTATCCCTTTCATTACCAAAATTCGAGGACCATTTTTAACTGAATTTTTTGTCAAACATTGGCAGAATTTGTGATTGTGAGCAAATGCAACTGTGTGGCTCCCGATCTATGTCAAAGACAAACACTGTTGCATTTGTACGTGAATAGTGAACAGAGAATGTTGGACCGCTCAATGAGGTACTGGAGCTGTATGATTAATTCTGAAGGAGGTTAGTTCCTACACATTACTCTGCGACTAAGGATTCCACTTTCTTTAGTTTACTATTAATATTTGGGTTCCATTTTCTTTAGTTATTTATTAAGTTCTTTTGTTCAACCGTGTCATTTTGTGGTTCCTTGAAGATCCTTATTCCTGTTGTATCTACCTTCTTCAAACTACATATTCATTCATCTTGCTTTTTACCTGCAAAGATTTTAGCTCGTTATATGATGATGGCCTTTAATTTAACAGTTATAATTTGAATCATTTTTTTTTTTAAATAAAAAAAAGTTACTTTATCAGTTGGAAATCCTATTCTGACTAGTTATATAATCAAAATATTGTATGTAAGCAAAGATAACCTTAGAGATGAGTTAAACCTAAATCCAAATTTTAAGATGTTTCTCTTAAATTTTAACCCAACTTGAGCCCCCTCCCATGTTTTGCCTACCCTCCACCAGGAAATCAGTGGTTTGTTCTGATTATGTCCCCGTCAGAAGGCCTTGTATCGTAAGTCCAAATGCAGGCTTCACTGTACAAGTATGCGGTCTTTAGTAAATGAACCTCATTTCATGAAGCAAGGAAAATTCGAATACAACTTGTTCCAAATTCTCAAGGGATTGGAATCCTGTGTTATATCTTTCGCCCATATCTTCCTACCAGTCAGTCATACATATATTAATAAGCCCTTCCACTAAAATCCACTCTGATGGTCCTGAAAATCACCTGTCAGCACAGCTTTCAGATTCACCATGCTATACCAAACCTCATCTGATTTGTCCAAACAGACAAATCAAGTAATGCCAAGATATATTGCAATTCATCACATATCAAAAGATAATGAATTACAGACAAGTGCAGCTAGTAGTCTATCCAAGAGGAAGAAAGGAGTACATCCTTAGTCTCCTGTGGCAACATTTTGGCCATCAACAGTCCAGAAGACAAATGACGACCATAAGCCACAGGAAATCAAAGCTCTGCCTCAGTTCTAAATCAGCAAGCCAAACTCTCAGGTCAATACAAGATAGGAAATGTTTGAAAAACATGCCTCGCAACCTGAAACCTGAACACTATCTATAGCCAATGTCTCTCATTAATTTATATATCAGGTATTTTCAGAATATAGATATCCCAGTATTGCCCCCAAGTCTTTCTTGATTTGAGCCATGTCTTTATTAAGATACATTCTATGATAGGGTGAGTATTGCGAAACATACAGGTCTTGTTTAGCATATAAATTTCTGTTTATACCAACAAGATTTTGTTCCTGCTTTCAGTTTGAATAGTACCCTTTGATATCATGGAAAAACGAACCTAGAATAACAGTACAAAACTACAAATACAATAACAAAAGCCTTATCCATATGGATTACACAATGCCAATAGGCTTGGTTAAAGACCAAATCTGCAGATATTCATCATGAGAACCCTCTGGATAACTTTTTCCAGTGTTATTCATGGTCTCTCTCCCCCCTTTCACAGGACTAATAACAGTACAAATACACCATTCAAAATTACTTGAAAGCAATCAAAGCATACCCCAACCAACACCATTTTTTTCCTTAAACCACAAAGATAACACTTACTCTTCTTTCTAAAGATAAAGAAATAAAGAAAAGAATATAATATATTCATATGAACACTGAATACTGTTTGCTCATCCAGCTAAACATCTTATGTTTCAAGATGGGCTTGCATCTCCAACTCAAGTAAGCAAGGATCTGACAAGTGTAGTATATGATATATTTCATGATGGAATTCAGGACTTGTCATATCATGCGAAGTGGATCAACACAACAGTAATTCATATTTGGGGGTTGCTAAGCATGAATCCAACATTTTGGTGGCTCTGCATAAATAGAAATGTAGTCAACTAGTCATCCAGGCATGCTTGCCAATACCACCGCCATTCAAAATGATTTTGTACACTGACACCATAGTTTTGGGTAGGCAAAACATCAGTCACACCTTGCAGCATAAGAGAGTTTTCCTATCTATCACCTTGAAGACCCAATCTTGACTTTTATCTTGATTAAACTTGTAATCCCCTGAAAGACATGTGACAAACGAGAAATAAAGAATAGGAAGGAAGGAGCAAACAAGTAAACAAACAACAGTACAACAGTAGAGAAACAGAATTTGAATGTGTGGATTGCCTGTCACTATCAGTGGCCTATATGCATTATGCAAATTCAGCATCAGGTAATGTTACACAGATGGCCTACAACTTATGACTGCATTAATATATTAGCCATTTGATAAAATATTGAGAACAGGATAACCATACTGAATGCTGTTCCTGAATAGAAAAGGAGAATATGAGAAAATGATACTTTCTATAGCAGTTTCTTATAGCCATGAGCCAATTGATGCAACTCAGTTAATCTAGCTGAACAACATAAATCCAAGTCCAGTTATCCATTGAATTCAGCATTCTGCGATCATTTTCATTAAGAAATAGTAACTACAAATGGCAACTATATTTGACAACAAACATGTACAGGCTAACGATAATTGTTTGGTCTTTCCACCAAATATAGTCCAAATGAATTGATGATTTAGATATTTCATACAAAACAGTCACTAAGAGTTCATCAGACATCCAAGATGCAACCTACCAGGTAGTCCCAAATACAGCAGAGAAAATGAAATAGTGCCCAACCTGGAAATGGGCACAGATTACTGAAGTTCCAGAAGGCAAACACACTCAATATGTGGTGTGTGTGGGAACATGTCAACTGGCTGTAGGCTTATTAACTTGTAACATCCTTTTATATTCTGTTCTGCCTGCAAAAAACCTTCATTGGCTCAAAGAATTGAATCTCAAAGCACAAGACAATCTTATAAAATGACACATACCACACCATGACAAAGAAAATCAAGGTCGCGTGCACATGTTGCAGGATTACATGACACATACACTATGCGAGGTGCCCTGAGATTTAGCAGGAATTTAATCAACTTCATGTGCATTCCTGGGCGATTGGGATCTGCATTAAGTTTACAGTGATGAGAACTGTAATACATTGTGGACACAAAAATACCAATATTGTGATTTGTAATCTTCAGTCTGTGAACAAAATATATGATCAGCATGTTAATAATACCTACAATGGAGCTAAGTTAGTTTTCTTGGCATGGAAACTGTATATTTAAGTCTTGAAGCACACATTTAAAAATACCGGTATAAATTAGCGCATCTCCATCCATACAAGTCAAATGAAGCAAGTTCCCCTCAATTGAATACAAATCAGTACAGCAAGCATGACAAGCTCACATTTGCATAACACTTATCCACTTGATTTAATGAAAACATTCAAGTGATTGGAAAATAAGGTGAATAACTGTGGCAAAGCCAATAAGTAGAAGGATTTCTCCATGTGTACTCCTGATTAAGACTATTTTTCAGCACAGGCCAAACTAATTGAGAGAAATAAATATAGCGAAAAAATAAGTAGAAATAAGGAAACTTAGAGCAACGAAACCTGAAATGACAATGTCAGGTTTAGGAAAATTCTTCCCAAAGTTCTCATCAATTTTATTGAGATCTCCCTGGACAAATGTTGCATTTTGTATGCCATTTATCTTGGCATTAAGACGAGCATCTGTGATGGCTTGAGGAACTACTTCATAGCCATAAACATGTCTTACACTGTTAAAAATTGGAATACAAGAAATTAATCTCATTGTTTCATAGTTTATCCTAAAATACTTAAACCAGATGAAGATAAAAGATTACCTTCTTGCAAGCGTCAGACCTATGGTGCCTGTTCCACAAAACAGGTCAAGGACAATTTCTGAGCCATCACCCCTGACTCTGGCACAATCTTCTATAAGCTTATATAAAACCTCTGCCTAAAAGAGAATAAAAATGATTTTTTTCTTGACAGATGGCCATGACTAAATTTAAGAAATAAAATATGGGACAGAATAGAGAGGATGCCAAAAATTTTGGGTTTATTGCAAACCTGAAAAGTATTCGTTTGAAAGAAAGAGTTTGCTGATATTTGGAATGTAAGCCCTCTTAAGGTCTCTGTAATGCTAGATTTCCCATACAAAGTGTATTCTTCCTCCCCAACAGATGTGTTACCAACAGAAGTATTTACGTTATTAACAACACTTACCTATCATTCATGTAAAAAAGAAACTTTAATGGTATTAAAAATATATACATACAGTTTGTAAACAAGTTATCAAGTTCATGTAACAATTTCCCAAAAAAATTCTATATGACTGTTGACTTAAAATATTGAGTAAAAATTGCATTGCAAACTGCAAGAGATTTAATACAGAAACCATTCATATGCCTTCACCAACCACTTCAGGAAATGTGGAAACTTTATCAACTAGGAACTTCAACATTTCTGGCTTGTACGAAGAGGTCACAAAGTTGACCATAACTTCAGGCAGACCAGTTGTTACATCCCTGGAACAAAACATATTAATATTGATAAAAAAAAAATTATAAAAAAAGGGTACCATTCAAAGATATAATAATATAAAAAGTATTACTACAAGTGCAATTTATGTATCTTTCAATAAATTATTTAATTGTAGTCCGTCTATATTATGATTGAGGTGCTGCTGAATCTCATTTCCTGCTTATCTGATTTTTTACCATCTAATACATTTTTGTTTTTCAAACTCTTGTTAAACTCTAGTGTGCCAAAAGAGGGAACAAACCAAAATAGTTCAATAAAAGAACCAATTTAAACCCATGAATAGATTTGAATTTGAATGACCATTAGATATATGTTATAATGTTATAATTGAGGGTTCATATTACAACTTATTTTCCAGCCCATTTATTCACTCATTTGTATGCCATTTTCCCTGCTATTTCCCCCTATAAAATAGAATATTTTTTCCTCACAATTTTCTCACCCATTTGCACAACTTTTTCTGTCCATTTGCTTGAATTTTCCCCCATATTTTTCCCACCAATTTACATGGTTTTCTCCTACCTCACTCTCACCCCTATATGCATTTTTTTCCATCCATTTTGTGTTTGTGATCATTCACATGAAACTTAGATTTAGATGACGATTCTATAAGCAAATCAAATATAAGACGTTCAATTCAGGTTATATGTGATATTAGTTAACATTAGTTGAAGAATTTTTTTTTGTAAATACTATCTATATTCCATATGGAGGATTGTTGATGAGGTAAAATGATTGACAAACCTTACATAGCATGAGACAGTAAACTAGCATTAGTGGCCCTAAATTTTATGGCTGAACACTTTCCAAAATACTCTTTAGCATTTTTTGTCTTGAGAACATGGTTCAAATTATGTATGGATACTCCAAATGATTGTAGCACCAGTATGCATCCATTACAGGTACTCATTGACATGAGTATGCACCCTTTTCTTTTATCAAATATGTTTCAGTCTATCTTTGCTAAGCATTGCAATGTGCAGATAACAATAAACTATAGACCTACCCGTGCAAAACACCAAATTGTTTGGTTTGCTAATAAATTGCTATTTCATTAGTTCAAATTGCTATTTCTAACAATCCTCCCATACATACCCATGCTATGCACTAGTTTTTAGAACATTTGTTGTAGAACGTACCCAGATCTAATGCTATGTTTGATCAGTCACCCTATAGAATCATTACAAGACCTACAGTATCCATATCTGTATATACTTAAAAGTAAAACAATTAAGTGAGAGATCGCAAAATATAACTTATATACCTTCCAGTTCTCAGCATCAAATGCTTAAGAAATCCCTTGTGTGAATGAACATTATAGGGAGAAAAACCAAGTTGTGGATCTCTCCAACATTCTTGGATAGCCGCAAGTACCTATTCAGATTTTCAAGTCAAAACAGAAGGAAAGTGTACTTTCCCTAATCAAATAAGCTTCCAAGTTCCAAGATATGATACCCAATCAAAAAAGTCATAAAATAGGCAACAATTATATCTTGCAAAATCACTGCACTGGATAAAGCTGTGAAATTAAAGACACAAAAAAGAAAACACGGGTCAATGAGACAAGACAATGGAAGTTAGGAAGTTATCAAATGGTCATTGCCTCTTGACATTTCAGGCAAGGCCCCTTCAGTTAGGTGCACGTCTATGTAATCTTATAAGAATAAGACGTTTCTGTTTCAGGCAAAGCATTCATGATAAGTGATAACCAAATTTCAATGGCTGATGATATTTAATCTAACTTTCTGATGGGGTATAATTGTCAAAACAATCAATAATAGTTTTAAAGCTTATTAGCTCAGGGTTGTCACAAACCGAATTTCTCTTTCTGCCGTAAATGGTGTTGCCTAACCTAGGTTTTGTTTACCTGTGGTTCAGTTCAGAATACATTAAAAACACAGAACTGCATACACACCATACAAGCTTGTAATTGTCAAAGAACAAATAACATCGGATACCTTATTAGCAGGATCAGATTGCAGTAAGCACTTATCAACATTCAAAATTTTATCAAAAAAACCAGGAGCATGCAACCCCAGCGCATAGTTTTCACTACCAGCATCATCATTTCTGTCTTTCAGTGATTCTTTAGGCAACCATCTTTGAGGACCAAACGAGAATTCCATCTGCACAAGCACGAAATGACGCAACACAAGTCATTCACCTCAGGCTGGTTAAAAAAGGAGAAGCACCACTAACACTAACCTTATTCCTATAATGAAACTGAACATCACAAGGAACAATGGGCTTCATAACATCGTGGAGTTGAACTAGTTCGCGAGAAAACTTCCCCACGTGAATCAACAAGTCACGTGCCTGCTCCTCCTTAGCTCTAATCTGAGCCTCGTAGGACAAGTTCTGCGTCTTGCAGCCGCCGCAGTAAGGGGAATAGACACAAGGAGCATCCACAATGTCACGAGGAGGAGTTAAAGTCTTCACCTTAGTTACCTGTGCTTTGTTAACGGAATCAGAAAACGAAGATAACGTGTTTGCGAATTGGAAATAGAAATGGAAGAGAATAGGCGAGTGAGGTTACCTCAGCGTAATTTCCCTTCTTGCGAGTGACGCGGCCTATGAAGTGTTCGCCGGGAAGAGCGCGGTCGCAGAGGACGACGAAGCCGGTTTGGGTGACCTTGCAGAGGCCCTTGCCTTTGAAAGCGAGGGACTCGCAGACGAGTTCGAGGGTTTGGCCACGCTTCGGGAAGTAGGAACTGGGGTTGGGAATGGAGGGTTTGGGGTCGACGTCTTCGGCGAGGGAGCAAGAGAGAGTGCACAGAGAAGGTCGGAACCTTCGGATGTGCAGTGGCAGAATGTTCGTTAGATTTGAAATGCTCGCCATTTCGCGGCCAAACTCTTGTGCACTCGAACACCTTGCGTAACGGAATGCTGTTATGGACCACCAATCATATATCCTATTCATTTGAGGTATATTCACACCTTCATATTTTGACTATATTCTCTACAGAGAGATGATCAACTCTCATCTAATCTCGCATGTTACGCCTCTTACCCTTCAATCACCAACAAATCTCTCAATTAAGGTATGTTTTTTCTTTGAACTTGTACACTCTCTCATTGGTAGTATTTTGGTTGGGTTTGGATAAATAAAATCAACAATGAGTCATTTTTGCATCAATTGTAACGTGATTCCCGATTAAAAGGAATCATTCACTTCATCCAGTTATTGAATTTGATGGACTCTAATTGAAATGTTGACTTAGGAAAGCTTAGAATGAAGGTGAAAAACAGTACCATTAAGGATGGAAGATTTCAGCTATATACCACTATGTTGGTGTTAGATTGTTGTCACATTTCAATGGAAACTTTATGTATTCATATAAATTCATTTTTATCCTCTTGTTTTAACAAGATAAGACTTTGTTTTTACCCAACAGTTGGACATTGTTGGAGAAGGTTGCATATTATATTTTTTCATGAAATTACTAACATGGAATCTGAGTCCCGCATTTCTCTCCGGAACTTCATCTGTTCATCATCATCTTCCGTTACATATCATGGTCAAGGAATATCTTTATGCATTCATTCGGCAGCGCTAGAACAAGAACATGGCACCTGAGGTCAACCATAGAATAGTTGAAGACAAACCATCATCACATTTCCATCTTATTTATTCTTGCAAAGGAAATAGTTCATTGTGTCATTCTATTTCAACTTAGGTAGAATTCGATAGTAGTTGAATGACTTTGAAATTGTAGAAAATATCAAAATAAAAAGTTGTCTGTTCTCTCCCATTTGATTTGCACCTAGATCAGCAGGGTGAAAGATTAAAATGTGAAGCACAGTGGAATTATTATGATTTGAATGCAATACATTTACAACTAAGGACGTGTCAAACCAATGCTCCACTACCTCGTCGTGATTGCACAAATAAATAACCCCAACAAGGGCTTTCAATGTTCTGTTTCATAATTCATCATGATGTTTCCCCTCCACTACTGGTACGTCCTGATTTAATTTGAGAAGATACCTAGTAGCTAAAGAAGCATGAAGTGCAGCTCCATAGGGAAGTGCATCTTCATTGATTCTGAAATATGGACTATGTGGTGACTCAAGACGTTCAATAGAGGCATTCTCCATTCCAAGGAGGAAGATGTATCCCGGAAAAACCTCTTGATAGAATGCAAAGTCCTCAGATCCCATCAACGGTTGCATGTCCTTAACTTTATCGATGCCAAGCAAACTCCCAGCAACACTTTTAAAGTACTCATGCAAGTCACCATCGTTTACTGTTGGGGGGAAGAAAGATTTCTCTTCATCAAGAAAGTTGACAGTTGCATTGCATCTCTGCACAGCAGCTTGCCCAGTGATAACCTACATAAATCAATCAGCCTTAGCCCCTAATAGGATTGCAGTGAAAACCACAGCAAGAGTACAATCATTTCTTGCTTATACAACACAAACCAAATAAGGTTGACAACAAAAGAAAAAAGGTCTACAAGATTTTGACCCCATTTACCTGGCTGACAGGAATTTATGAATGTGCTTGCACACTCTGAGTGTGTGTGTGTGTATACACACACATATATAAAACAAGAATTTAGTTCCCTAAATTTCAGTAATCCATGAATTTGAATCCTCTCATGCAAGTTTTTCACCAAACAGATTCACAGAGAGAGATAAACATGAAGAGCTTGCAAAAGGCCCAACAAATTTTGCAATGCACAAGGTCTGTGTTTACCTCTCTCGACCATGACCCTATAATATGAAAAACTCATAGGGAACCAAATCTGTACTCCATGAACCTATTTGGAGGTTGTCGATTAACAATTTGTACTTAAACAAGTAAAGAATAAAACACATTATTACAACAAAATAATGATTGCGAGTTAATTGTGTAAAAGAAACAAAAAAGGTCATTAGTTCCACTTTCAGTGTATAACTTCACAACAGACCTGCTCAATCCGCTGCCTCAGTTGCATGAAGCTTTCTTTTGAAAAGGCTCGGAAGGTGCCACCAATTGTGACTGAGTCTGGAATAACATTGAAAGCACCACCTCCTTGAAATTTTCCTACAGTCACAACCTGAGGGGATATACTTTATGTCAGGAAAACACAGAAGATTGTCTCCATAAGCAATGAATTATTTCTGGAAACGAGGCTTTTATCATATTCAATAATCATTGTAAACAGATAATGATGTGGTATATATATTGTGAGAATTTTTATTCTTCAATAACATATCTATGTCAAAGCCCCACAAGAATACAAAGCTTTTCATGTTTCATAAAATGATATTGATAACAAGCATAAGGTCTCAACTCTCAAATTAAGTAAAGTGACAAAAAGGTGGAACCAATACTTCCAAATTACGTGCAGAAAACAAAAGATTGAAAGCAAGAGAAGCTAAGAATTGCGAGATATTGGTTCTTTGTTCCCTTTGTTCTTTCTTATGCCCACACATAAAGGCACATACAAAACAGGCCCGCCACTTTGGTATTCATGGATTCAAAATACAGTACAAACTTGATGTTCTTAGACAATAAGGTAAGGATAAACTAAGAATACATGAGTATGGGTGACAGGAAGCGAAAGAATGACATGAAATAAGTTTACCTGGGAGTCTAGAGGATCAGCCTCGCGTGAAACAATATGTTGTAAGCTAACGATCACATTGGAAGCTGCCAATATTGGATCTATAGAGTGCTGAGGGATGGCTGCATGACCTCCCCTTCCATTTATTGTTGCTTCAAAGAAGCCACTTCCTGCAAATATAGGACCCGACCTAGAGGCCACTTCACCTATTGCTAAGTTAGGTGCGACATGCAATCCGAATATGGCAGAGATATTTTCCAAGACCCCAGCATCTAAAATTTTCTTAGCCCCTCCACCTCCTTCTTCTGCTGGTTGAAAAACAAGAACAACAGTTCCCTATAGAGACAAATTAAGGAATGATATCAGGGATCCATAAGAGGACAAAAACAATAGAACGGTGCAATTCAGAAAAAGCAGTAAGCAAAAGTATCTGTCCAGGGATAGTAGATGATAATATGATATAAGTGGCCAACTTTTTTCCTTTTCCTGTCTTCTTCTGGATTACGTTTTTGTTACCATTACAACAATCACAGAAGCATTATGTTTAAGAGCATACTGGAAGCAGTGTGATTCTCCATATTCTAAAATCTAAATTATTTGAAGAGCAACACTAAAAAAGAAAGTAAAAAATTAGAACAACACGTTGTCTAAGTAATAAGTACTATAAACTATGAAGTAAAGGGACCTCTTCCCCCACCCAACAACCCAAAAAAAAAAAAAGAAACTGAATGTCAAAAACCATACTTGTATCTCATTTTCATGCTCTTTGAGGATCTTTGCAGCGCCAAGAAGCATGGCAACATGAGCATCATGACCGCATGCATGCATCTTTCCAGGTACTTTACTCTTGTGCGCCCACTCCACCATTTCCTAAGGTTGAATGAAAGAAAAATAAATCAACGAAATATACACAAAACAGAATAGCTCTTAGAAATATAACCATAAATTGGAAAAGGATAAGAGGACTAATAATAAAAAATTGATTAAAGACAATGAACTAGTTTTAACTTTTAAATCAAAAACTCAAATGGAGGGATTTCATAATAATACTAATAATTGAAAAGCTAGAACACTGATACAAGCATATGTTAAAGCACATATGATAAGAAAAAAATTATAATAATACAATGAAATCATATAAACCTGCATAGGAAGAGCATCCATGTCAGCTCTTATTGCAACAAAAGGAGGGTGTCCAGTCCCTATGAAGGCAATAACACCAGTGACTGAAACAGGGTATTTATATGAAATGCCCAGTTTATCCAATTCCACCCTTATAAGCTGACTGGTCTCAAATTCCTGATAACCCAGTTCTGGATTCTCGTGAATCTTCCTCCGGATACCCACCATCCAATCAAAAACCCGAGGATCCTTGGCTAAATCAAGAAACTTGGTGATGGCGATTGCATTTGAGCTGAAGGTGAAGATGGTTGTTGCAGCAAGGAAATGAAAAAAGACCAACAAGTTGATCCATTTGAAGAAAGACCCCATGGATGCTTTAAACTTTGAGGTGGGTTTGGGAAAGAACAGTGGAAAAGATAAACCAACAAAAAAAACACAACTCACCAAACTATTCAGTTGCAGTAGAGATGCTGTTGTTGTTCTCATTGCACAGCATATATTATATATATTAGTATTAACTAATAGATTGATAACATTTCGTTTGGAAAAGAAAAGGAAAATAATACTATCTTGAAGTATTTATTTATTTATTTATTTATTTTTAGTAAAATTAAGATATTATATAATATAAGAAATTTGACATTTATGTTCTTTAACATAGAGACGGATTTGATTATGACTTTTATTCCTAAAATAGGCCCATAAAGATAGTGAAATATTTATGATCTCTCAAAAGAATTTGGTTTTTAAAGAATCCACAATTAGACAACAATATGTTATTTTTTTTTACGAAATCGTAAGTTTTATTTTTAGTTTTATTTTTTTACGGTTACTAATGCATTGATTATAGATTTATTATTATTATTTACTCTTTATTAATTTATTTATTATATTTAAAGATTCATATTTTATAAATTTAGCATAAATTTATAAAATTATGTCCATTTTAATTTTAATTATTTTTATTTTTGATGTTTTGAAATTTAGAATTAACGATAATATAATTTAAAGAGTTAATTACCTATATATTATCAGTGTAAAATTCTTTTATACTGGCAACCAATTATATTTTTTAATAGTGACATGTCAGTTGCTTATTTAATGAAATGATAATAAAATAAGTAATTTTAAAATATATAATAATTGTTGGTGTAAAAAATTTTACACTGATAATATATATAGATGATTAATTCTAATTTAAATATGAGATAGTACTACATATCTCAAACTCCGACCAATTCTAGTGTTTAGATTAAGCCAATCTAATTTAAATTGAATTGAATTAGTTTGTATTAATTGAGTTATGAGAAAATAAAATAATTTAGGAAAGTGAGTACATTCTTTATCTCGAAACAAACAAACCAAAACGTATGGACGGTATATATTTAGAAAATGAAAAACGTGTGTATTTGAAAGGCGGCCAGTGACGTCTAAATCACAGCACGTGACAATTTTAATTTATTAACGCTCCTACTTCATTTCATAAATTATACTTTTGATCTTTTTAAAAAATTTAATTTTTTTTCACTGTTTTTAAATAATTTAATTTAGTTCTTTAACTTTTTAAAAAAATATTTAATGTTATTTTTTCATTTAAATTAACACTAACAAAAAATCGGATGAAAAGATAAGTTTGAACATTATTTTAAAAATCAAAAGATCATACTGAATTATTTAAAAAATAATAAAATCAATTTGAATATTCCATAAATAAATGAATTAAATTAAACAAAAAATTTATCTATTTTTTATTTAGATAAATTTAATTTTTTTTTATCTATTTAATAATTTATTTTATTAAATAATTTTTTAATAAAATACAATCACTCAAGGAATTGGCTTCTCGCACCACATGCGATATCTCATTTTCCAGGGACGGTCCAACAAAACTCACTCCTAATGAAGAAGATTAAAAGGAGGGTGATCATCAAACTTTAAACATATTTTTTTATAAATATTACTTTCATCATCCCAAGTTGTTTTAAGTTATTTTATTAAAATCAAATAAATTAATAAATATATATATATATATATAATATTAGTAATTTTACAAATATAACTTTATAATTAATTTTTTTTAGTATAAATGATACAAAATAATAATCACTTTTTTATATAATACTATTAGAGATGTAAATAAAAAATAAGTAATTAATAAGACTAAAATAATACATTTATTAAGAGACTAAGGGCCTAATTATTTCGACATTGTAAAAAATAAATTCATATAATATTGTATCATTTAAAAATAATTAGTACTTCATCAAATCAAATTTTTAATATATTTGACTAACTTTTTAAATAATTTATGTATGTTAATCAAATTTGTGACATATATATCAAAAATCATAATTTAGATACTTTGATATTTGTATTTTTTAAGTAAAGGTCGAAGTTTGGTCTATATCATGAACATAAAGTCATAGTTAAAAGTAATACTTTATTATAATAAAAATCAACCCCATAGAAACAAGTTATATCTCTTTATTATAACTTCTTCATAGAGTTGACAAGGTAGTTACTAAAAATAAGGTTAAAATTAATTACTGTGTTCATGAGTTTAACTTTAACTTAACTTAATTACACAAGGTAAAAATGTCTAAATAAAAGTGGATATGAAGGTGACTATCGAAAATGATATTGTCTTTGTTAATAGTATAGATTAAAGGGAGTCTAATAAGGGAAACTTAGGACATGTTTTGATAAATTTTTCTATAAACACTTTTAAAAAGATAAATTAAATAAATTTATTCATAAATTAAAATTAACTTATGCATATGCTAACTTGTACAAATTCTCTCATATAACTTCTTCAAAAAATTACAAATTGAAATATGCATAAGTTAGTTTTAGCTTATGAAAAAATTCATTTCATTTTTCTTTCACATTTTTTCTAAAAGTACTTCTGAAAAAGTTTATCCAAATAAATCCTTACAAAGATGTTAAGACTAATTAGTTTGTTAAAAATATCTTTTAATATTTTATTAGTTTTCTAGAAAGTTATTACATATGCTCTTTATAAATAGAGTCTTTATACATTGTCATTCTATTTTTATCAATCAATTACAAAATATTTTTTTATGACATTTATTTGCTATATTTTGAGCTCTTTGATTTATAGTCACAATATATTGGTGTTATTTATATTTTTTCTCAATTTCTTTCATCTCATCTCATATTTCTAATAGTAGATGCATGAAGATTTATGTTAGAATGAGCTTAGAGAGACCCAAAAGATATAAAATTAAGTGGTTAAATCATTTTACAAAGTTGAATTAAAATATTGTATTTATCTTTTAATATTTTATTTTAATTCCTAAAATAGAATGATGACACTTGTAAGAAAAAATTGGCCTATAAAAATCATCATTGATAACTATTGAAACCCGTTAGCCAACTCAGTTCTCCATGAGTTTGAATCAAATTGGGTCAGAAAAATTTGGTTTGTTTCAATTATAAGAAAAAATTGGCCTAATTTATTTATTTATTTTTTATTTTATCTTTTTTGTTCTCTAATTATAGTTTATGTGATTATATATTTATATTATTAACTAAATTTTATACATATTAATTATGAATTATGGTAATAAGTATCAATTGGATATTATTTATTAACATTTTACGTCACTGCTTTGATATTGTTTTATTTTATAAGTTGATTAAGTTAGTTATGGTTGATGTCTTTTTTTTTTTGCCTTAATGCTAACTTAATTGTAATTCTAAGATGTAACATTATAAGATTGTTTTTTTATTTATTTATAAAGTTCAACAAGTTTTTTAAAAAATTAAAGTAAGTCAGCACATTTAGTCCACTAATTTGTAGTGGATCGTGTCAAGTTATTTTTTTGACTTACAAAAACGTGAGCCAAACAAAGTCGAGCTAGATGACCACTTTGACATCTATACAATATTGTTGGTCTTGACATTTCATAAGTTCTAAGAGAAATGATAAACATGAAGTCTATATATAATCATTTGGTCCTTGATCTTTTTTGGAAAATTTTAATTAGGTCCTTTGACTAAAAAATTGTAATAAGATCTTTCATCTTTTTATATTATTATAATTCAATCATGAGGTTATATTTGTTTATTATCTGTTAAACTTGAGAAAATATTTTTTATATCCTTATACTTGGAAAACCATATTGAGTTATTATTTCATGCTATCATATACATAATGTTTTAATCTCAGCATGTTAAAATTTTTTAGTATTCTATATTTTTTATGATTAAAGAGATTACATTAATTTTTAGGATCAAATTAAAACAAGTTACACATAGATTATAATACATAGAATAGTAACTTGATATAGTTACATATGTATAATAAAAAAAATATTATGCCATATTTCACAATTTGTAAACAAAACTCTAAACTTATGAGTTAAATTAAAAAAATATAAAAAATTGAAAGACTCAATTTAAAATTATAAAAATATAAAATTTATTTTATTTTAATATAATATAAAAATTTAATATACTACAAAATATAACATACTTATATTTATTTTTTTTTAAGAAATTGGGTCTCTTGTACATAGAACATATGCGGTTCAACTTTTAAATCTATACATTTATACTATTATAGTAACTACCCTTTTGGACTCTACTTTTTAGTGAACCTTTATATCCCTTGAATGTAAAAAAAAAGTAACAAAAAAAAATTCTTATATCTTCTATAACTTTTAATATTTGTCCATGTATAATTATGTGAGACATGAGGTGTCTCGGTCCTTCTAGTATTATAAAAAGGGAATACATTTTAGTAATTATCTTTTTGGTCTTCATTTTTTAGTAAACGATTATACCCCCTAAATGTAAAATAGAAAAATTTTATTATATTTTTTTAAATAATTATTATGAATAACCAATTTTATCCGGGTCCACAAAAGTGATGAAATGGACGTCTACTATGAAGAGGATGGGCTCTCAAATATGGAGGCAACACCATATGACAACAAGGAAGTTTGAAGCCTGAACAATTTGGTTTTAGTAGCCCAGAACGGGTCGTTCCACAATTGGAACGGGCCGTTTCGAGTTACAAAAAAGATCTAAAAACCTAATTGAGAACGGGCCGTTCCAATTTACGAAAGAGATCTAAAACCCTAACTTAGAACGGGGCCGTTCCAAGTCAGTTAAAAGGCCTACAACCCTAATCAAGAGCAGGGCGTTTTGATCTTAGAATGGGCAGTTATTATTTTAGAACGGTCGTTCCAATATTGGAACGAGCCATTCTAAGTGACTAAAAAGGACCTAAATTTCCTTATCTGGAACGGGCCGTTCCACATTTTAGAACGGGCTGTTGCGCGTTTAGAACGGGCCGTTTTGAATTTAGAACGGGTCGTTTCAGATTCACATTTAGCTTGTAACGGAATGATCCAGAATGGGCCGTTCCGATTTTAGAACGGGTCGTTCTGGTCAGGTCTGATGTCTATAAATAGACACCTCGGGCACAGTTTTCAGGGCTGAAAAATTTTGTCCAAGACTCTTGAGAGCTCAAAATTTTTTCTCTCTCTCCCCTCTCTCTTTTGTATTTCTTGAGATCTGTGAGACACTTATGTAGTATGAAAGGTAGCCAAAAAGCACCTTCTTGATCATCATATTCGAAGATTCAACTCATTTGATATTGTTTCTTTTCTTATCCTTTTTATTTTATTTATTTATTTATTTATTTATTGTTTGTACATAGTGAATATGATTTGTTGCCTTTAATATTATTATTTATAAAAATATTTAATATACGACCAATAATAATGTTAATTGAATAACATTTTTATCTTTAACATTATTAGGTCCTAGGGGTTTAATGACTAGTTATTTACTAGCTTAAACTCTCATGTATAATTTTTTTTTTAAGAATAAAAATATGTTGCAACCAATATCGTTAATTAAATAACATTTATATTTTTAACGTTATTGAGGGGATTTATTGATTAACCATTTGCTAACTTGAATCCTTACGTAGAATCTATTTCTTTAGATTAAAAAAAAACAAACAAACATAATTTTGCTTATGTATACGTTATTTTTATGGTTAATGATATTAATTGAGTAGCACTTCTACCCTTTAATATCATGTAAATCATAAAAGTTAATAGAATAATTATTTGTTGTCCTAACCTTTAAGCCTAATTTATTATCAACAAGTAAAAATCAATAACATTGATTAAATAGCAATTATATCTTTCATGTTATTGGGAGGGTTTATTGTTTAGCCATTTGCTCACCTAAATCCTTATGATTTTTTTTTAATAAAAAAATACAAAAGAAACATCTCTCATATTAAAAAAAATAAAATATATATATATACACATTTTCAAGGAATAAAATAAATGTTTATAAATTTATATAATTTTGCGCAATTAATTAAAAGTATTGTTTTTAGAGGCGTTATAAGGTGCTAATACTTTTCCTACACGTAATTGACTCCGGAACCCAACTTTTAATTTCAAAGATTATCTTTTAAAAGATTTTCTAATATTTTTCCCTTAAAATAAAATATTAGTGGCGGCTCCATTAAAAGATAAATGTTAGCATCATCCGGTCATAATCTCGATTACGACAATTATTAATAATTTTTAATATTTATCTATATGTATATTATAGGCACGAAGTGCTTCGAATCCTCTAATAACTCCATAACCGGCTTTGGTTTACAAATAAGGTGGAAAATACAAGACAAGCAACGACCTAAATTTATATATTTAATTTTTTATTAGTTTGAATTATGTCTGAAAAATCACCCTGCTATGTGAAATTGTGTATGAGCCCATGAACAAGCCCAATAGAAAACCAGGGCCCATAATATAAAGACCGGATATTTCTTATAAGCCTCTCTCTATATATATATACAATTCGAAAACCCTGCGTTGCGTCAATTATGATTTTCCGTCTTAATTTTCAATCGATTAATCTTCTGATCAGTGATCACGTAATCGCTACCATTGTCATGTTTAACGCTTCACTTCGCTACCCGCAAACAAACTGATTCCAAGGTATTTAGTCCTTCAATTTGAACTCGTGATGATGGAATTGTTAAACCCAATTCTTAAACTTTATGACTTTATGGGCAGTGTATATAATTTGTGAAATGATTTTGATAACTGGTTATCGGTAATTGTTGGTGAGACGCTTGGATTTTCCCTGTGTACCGTTTTTTTTTATAATCTTTTTGCCTCTTTAGGTCTTAATTAATGGTTTGTTATGATTCTCAAACAATTGCCTTTTCATGTTTCTGGCTAGCGAATACAAAATGAGCGTTAAATTGATCATAAAATGAGCGTTAAATACATCATAATCTGTGGTTTTTGTAATGTAAAATATGAAGCTTTGTGGGAATTCTTTTTCTGTTCCTAATTATGGTTGTCAAGTATTATCAGATAATTGCCCCCTCAATGGTCTCTAGTGGAGGGCCTCAGCATGCGATTTTGCCGAGCAGCAAAAGGAAACGCAGGATAGAGGATAATTTCAACTGTGGTCAAGAGGGTGCTAGCCTGAAAGAAAACCAAGACAAGAAAAAAGATTCAGATCAAATGGACCCAAGTGTTGAATCCGTGGATCGTATCTCGCAGTTGCCTGATCATGTTATCCATCACATTTTATCACACCTTCGTAATGTCAATGATGCAGTTCGAACCAGTATTTTGTCCAAGAAATGGAGAGCACTGTGGCATTCCTTTTCCATTTTGGTTTTTGATGAACGAAAGTTTGCTGCAAGAATTGGAAATGAAGATAATAAGGAGATGATGTTTAGAGAATATGTATCTATTTCTCTATGTGACCGCCTTGTGAAAAATTTGTACATACAAAAATTGGTGGTGCACATAACCCCCCATGACTTGTCAGATGATACCGAGTATCTGAACTTATGGCTAAATATTGCTAACGACAGAAACATCAAAGAGTTAGATCTCCATGTTGGCATCAAGAGTGGCAAGCGCTTTACTTTACCATCAATTGTCTTTTCATCCAAAACATTGACTGGGATAAGGTTAAGTGGTTGCAAACTGGAAACCTGCGGTAATATAATGCTTCCACATTTGCAGAAGCTTTATCTGCACAAACTGTACTTGGATGAATCTGTTATTCAAAATCTTATATCCTGTTGTCATTCAATTGAGGATTTCAGAATCATAAAGTGCTCTGGTTTGAAGCATTTACATATTTCTAATCTCATTCGACTCAATAGAGTTGAGGTCCACCATTGTACTCAACTGAAGAAGGTTCAGATCGGTGCTCCTAATCTTGACACATTTTGGTTTTGTGGCAAGAGAACATTTCCCTGTAAAGTTAGTTTGGAGGGGTGCGATTCTCTGAAAAGGTTGACACTAGGGCATCCTCAAGTGACTCGTGATTTTTGTGAAAATCAGATCTCCAATTTTCCCTTACTTGAAAAATTGGATCTATGCATTTCCAATGACAAGATTAAATACATTATCTTTTCAAATCCTCATCTTCAGAAATTTTCTTTGAAAGGTTGTAAGAAATTGCGTTTTGTTCAAGTATTTGCTCCTAATCTTGTCTCCTTTGAGTGCAAGGGTGAGACTATGCCCTTGGTTGATTTTAACCCATTCTGCCTCACGGATGCCAAGCTTTCTTTTTTACCTAAACAAAAAGTTGTTGGATTTGGTGATAAGATTTGGATTATGATGAAAACATTTATTGGAAAGTTCGAATCTGAAGGATTTAAATTGATTCTCTACTCTAGCAAGGTATTTTTCTTCTAGCATTTAGTCTTATTTGGTTGGTTTTCATGATTTTGCATTTCTGAAGAACTCTAACCTCATTTGTTTTTTCTCACTTGGTTGGTTAATCCAGAATATTATTATTTATGAAGATTTGTGCAAAGTCAAGTTACCTCCAGTGCCCGACCTCGGTTGTGAAATTATCAAATCACCAGCATGTATTGATGATATTTTGTTTAGTTTGTTGCGGACATTGCACCCAGTGACTCTATCGATAATTTCTCCCCTTGACAGTGATTTCCCTAAGGTACGGTATCTTTTTTTTTTTTTTTTTTTTTT